CCCCGCGTCGCCCCTCCCCTCACGCGCGTCCCCACCGGTTCCCGTCGTGGGGACCTCGCCCTCCCTCCGGCCGCCCCTCCCCGCCCCTCCCCGGCCTCGCGCTGTCCCCGCCCTGCGGCGCCTCATCCTGGGGGCCGGCCCCAGACCCGGGGCAGGTGGCCGAGGCCGAAGCCTTGGCCTTTGGGAACCGTGTACCGGGCAGAGCTTGGGAATCAGATCTAGGCACCCTAGTGACAAGTTTGGGGACTCACGTGATACCTGGGTGTCACTTGCCTTTGGAAGGGGCGGGGGGGGGGGAACGTCATCTTGAGATAAGACTATGTCCACTTAATTCTCGCAAGTCAGTGAAGCGGCTCCGGTATTTATAAGGCTGGGCTTGCGTGTTTCAGAGCTCAAAGGCTGTCTTGGTAATAAAATATGATTGATTGAGCCAGGACGCCTGTGGCTTGCACCTGTAACCCTAGCTGCTCAGGAGATGGAAGGATCGAAGTTCCAAGAAGTTCCAAGCTAACCGTGGCAGAGAACCCACAGAATGCCCAAAGTGGAGAGCCACTAGCATTAGTGAAAAAGCTAAGCAAGAGCATGAGGCCTAGAGTTCAAGCCCTAGTACAGGACACACACACACACACACACACTCGATTGAGTGATTGATACACACACACACACTCTCTCTCTCTCTCTCTCTCTCTCACTCTCTCTCTCTCTCTCTCTCTCGATTGAGTGATTGGGTTCCTGTGGGAGGCTCAAGCCTCCTGGTCACAAGTGCTGGTATGAAGACTGTCAGGGCTTGGAGCATGACTAACTGCCAGCCTCTGAATCCCAGCTTTGGCATTTTTGCGTTCTAAGGTGTTGCTCAAGCCGTTTAGCTTTTCCCTTTACTTTCTCCATCTGTATAATTAAGGGAATAGTATATGTTATGAAAGTTAAATAAATGAACATTTGTGAAGTACTTAAAGCAGACCCAGTCACATGATAAATGCTCAATAAAGTAATATTTGTTGTATCAATTATAGTGTGAGTGCCGCAATTAAAGACTTTTTAGAAATTATTTTTAGAGGTAGTCATAACTTTAATTATAAAGAGGCATGTCAGGGAGGGCAGTGATTCTGGATTTCCTTGCATTTACTCAAATTTGGTTCCTTTGTTTTCATGGTTAAGTTTCAGTGTGGCCTTAGCCCTGAGAGTTTAGTGGTGAGGACTTGTTTGAAGAGATTTAAAAGATAAGCCTGGCACTTGTGGCTCATTCCTGTCATCTAGCTACTCAGGAGGAGGCTGAGATCTGAGGATCTGTTTGAAGCCAGCATGGACAGGAAAATGCCTGAGACTCTTATTTCCAATTAACCAACAAGAAGCCAGAAGTGGATCTGTGTCTCAAGTGATTGAACACTAGCTTTGAGCAAAAAGCTGAGGGACAGAACCCAGACCCTGAGTTTAAGCCCCAGGATTGGCACACATACATTCACAGGCACAAACATTAAGAAGACAAGAAATTATGACTTGGAATATTGGCCTAACTGGATTAGTTATAACCTGAAGCACGAAAGGTTTATTCAGGCAAATTCAGAAGTAAGTAATTCCAGGAACAGAAAATATATCTCAACTGGACATTAGATGATGGTTTAAAGACTTTTCCAGTGACTCAGTGTTTAACATCTAGCCAGATGATTCCTGTTCTTTGCAGGGACAATTCTGATGTGTTTTAAGGAAGATAATGTTTGTAGCACTTTGGAAATTCTTGTTTTGATCTAGGTTATGGGTTATATGGAGCAAACATTATGAACAGAAGTTTCTGTCTGTCCTTTCAAGTTCCTGTTGGTAGGAGCACCCTCTTTGGACAGAAAGATGATGACTTGTTTCCTTGCGTGATGGGTTTGGAGACAGCCATCTTTCCGTGTTTCAATACTTGGCAGTCTGGTTCTGTGTGTCACTGGGTATGGATGGGGCATCCAGAATCCAGAAGATGTCTTATCCTCTATGGATAAGACACCTTGAGAGCCTCACTGGAGACAGCGGTTTCTCTTACCCACCTCAAGATCTGGCCCTCCCTCCCTCCACCTTCAGCTTGCCCAAGTAGGGAGGTCTTCAGTTCCCTGCAGAGTTTCAGGACCTGGTTAATGTGGACTAGCAGGGATGGAGGAGCTTGAATGAAATGGATATTTCAAAGCTGGCAGTAGGGTGGAATATGAGGCTGGACGTGGGATCCAGGATTTAATGAGATCCAAGATTTAATGGCAACTGAAACTAGTCCGAATGCTACTGAGCAGGTGTTTTGAATCTAGACAAAGAAGCATGATTCTTATCATTTTTGATTCCCTAAGGAATATTTGGTCAATTCTGGATGTCTGAATTGCTTCTGGTTTTTACAGGGCAGGCATGCTAACAAACATTACATTGTATGAAACACCTCCCCACAACAAAACAATTTATCTAGTCCAAAGTGTCTGTTTTGCCAAGGTCAAGAAACCCTGGGCTTCAGTGAATGTGAGGGAGGTGTCAGGACTGTCTTGGCAGAGTGTTGCCTCCTTAGTCAGAGGCATCAGGGAGTTGGAGAGTTCTACTCAGGGTGGATGCTGCACCACCTGCCATGTTTCTGAGAGGGTCCGTGCTCTTCATTCTGCCCAGGGGGTGAGCGGGCTTGGTGTGGCTCTCTTCCATGGGCCAGGATTGCTTTTCACAGATGTTACTATGGAATGGGTTCCCAAATACCAGTGAGGATAGTCAGGTTGTGAAGCAGCAGAGCCTGCCTGTGGCGTGTAACTGGGAGGCAGGCAGACACAGCACCTACAGTGGAGCTCAGGGCTGGACTCACAGTCAAGTCATCTTGTCTCACTATGCTGGAGCAGTGTTCCTAAGGTAGTGTGTAGATGGGCAGCCAACTAGGATATTAGTTATGTTCTGACTTGTATAACTGTGAGGGGAAAAACAACAGAACTAGAGCTGGCATGAAGAAGATTTCAGAGGCAAGCCATTCTTAGACCTGGATCCCATGAATTGAGGGGGAGGCTGGATCTCTTTGAAGAAGTACCTCCTCAAATATAGAAATATGTTCCCTCATTTATCCTTCCTTTAGGGAACAACTCAAGGAACAACAACAACCCCTCCCTCCCTCCCTCCCTCCCTCCCTCCCTTCCTTCCTTCTTTCTTTCCTTCTTTCCTTCCTCCTTTGTGTATCCTGCCCCATCCATTTCTTTATCCCTTTCACCTAAATGTGTCTCCTTCACTATAAAATAACAACATAGCTTTTGTTACAGAGTAAAGATTAGACTGTTCTCTGATTCCTTGGCTTTCACCAGTACTTTCCTGGTGGTGGTTTCACATTCTGCACCTTGCTCCAGTTGTTTGTCTTCTCTTGCTCTTTCGATTGGCAGTTCCTCCAGGTAGGTTCTTTGCCTTCAGTTGTTTCCTTAATAGTGATGGTAGTGTTTCGTACTTGCTTGGGTGAATAAACTAATGAAAATAACCAAGTTTGTCTAGATAAAGTATCATTTTTTGCTAAATGTTTCTAAATAAAACCAAATCAGTATTGTTAGCTACTTCACGTTTGATCTTTCTTGGTTAGTGTTTCCATCCCAGGGCCTCACACTTGCTTTAAGTGACTTATATTTTTATTAGATATTAATATTTTATTAAGTATTCATGTATAGTATTAAAGAGCAAGTAAAGTTTATCACATGTCTTATGCATTTATATACAGATCTATCTTTGTGTTTATTTACTAGTAGTGTCAAAACTCCCTTTTTGTTACTTTTAAACTTTTTTATTTGGTGGTCCTGAGGTTTGACCTGGGAGTTTCACACTTTCTGGGCAGGTGTCTTCTTGTTATTTTATCAGACTACATACAGTAAAAGAGGAGGATATTAAAAGCTGAACAGTCCTCTTAAATGAGGGTGTTACTTGCCACTGGAAACACTTGCTTTTTTCTTGTGTCTCTGGTATTAGGAGTGTAAGGAGGAGGAGGCTGCATGTGTCAGTATGTGTGCGTCGGTCAAGTACAACATCCGGGGTCCTGCCCTTATCCCAAGGATGAAGACCAAGCACCGAATCTACTACATCACCCTCTTCTCCATTGTCCTCCTGGGCCTCATTGCTACAGGCATGTTTCAGTTCTGGCCTCACTCCATCGAGTCCTCGAATGACTGGAGCGTGGAGAAGCGCAGTGTCCGAGATGTGCCCGTGGTCAGGCTGCCAGCCGAGAGCCCCATCCCAGAGCGTGGGGATCTCAGCTGCAGAATGCATACGTGTTTTGATGTCTATCGCTGTGGCTTCAACCCAAAGAACAAAATCAAGGTGTATATCTACTCCCTGAAAAAGTATGTGGACGACTCCGGTGTCCCGGTCAGCAGTACCATCTCCCGGGAGTACAATGAGCTGCTCACGGCCATCTCAGATAGTGACTACTACACTGACGACATCAATCGTGCTTGCCTATTTGTCCCCTCCATTGATGTGCTGAACCAGAACTCTCTTCGCATCAAAGAAACAGCCCAGGCACTGGCCCAGCTCTCCAGGTATCTGACACTTAGAGACCATAGTTATCTCTAGGAGCTAAAGGGAAGGCAAGGGAGAGGTGGGCATCTCCTCTGAGCTGGCCTCCAGCTGCTATCACTCCCAGATGTGTGAGAGAGTGGCTGAGGTAGCTGAAGGCCTCTGCTGTGAGCGCCTGCTTCTGCACTGTGAGGCTCTGAGAGTTTACAAACTAAGGATGGCTCTTCTTCCCATTCTTTTCCTTTAAAAATTAATTATGCTGCCCTTCCCAGTCACTTACATAATACACATTTACTGTGAAATTTCTGAAAACATAGGGCAGCAAAAAGCAGAATGTAAGATCCTTTCCATAATTCCATTTGAAGAGATAACCATTACCCATGTTTTGATGTTACTTTTAGACATTTTTGTATGAAGAGTACATTCTGTATCACACAATCCATGTAATCTTTGGATGCTTTATTTCTCTTACCATGGTGGTATATTTCTCAACAATTCCACATTCTTTGGCTATATAATTTTAAACTTTATATAGTATTCCAATTTTTGGATGTTCTGCAATATATTTGAGCAGCCATCTATATTTTGTTTCCTTTTAGAACATTTAGGTAGGTTTCAGTTTTTCATGATTAGAAATGGTTCTATAGTGGACAGGCATGAGGTCTGCATCCTCTACTTGATCTTTCAAGAAGGCACATCAGTGCTGATCTGTTGGGGTTTGTAGGAGTTCACTTCACATACCTGAGGAGTGATGTCTCTGGGGTCCCGGAGATTTGGATTTGTTATTCAGTCCTGTACTCTTGTTTCCTCTTGGTTGTCATGTGAATTCTACTTGTTTAATTTCTTAATAGGTGGGATCGAGGTACCAACCACCTGTTGTTCAACATGTTGCCTGGAGGACCCCCAGATTATAACACGGCCCTGGATGTTCCTCGAGATAGGTGAGTTCATTTGGGATTGTCTTGGGTTTCTGAGGATTGAGTAAATTAGTTTTTGTGTTTCTCTGAAATTATGTTCCTTAAACATAGTTTTTGTGTTTCTCTGAAATTATGTTCCTTAAACATACTGGCATGTTTTTTTTGGGGGGGGGATATAGGTTATTGCTGAATTTATTGTTCTGTTGACTAGTATAATTCTTTTCTTTTACTCTTTTTTGCCAGTCCTGGGACTGGCATGTTTTATAATCAGAATTATTTGCTAAACCAGGAAAGTATCTTGGGCATTTCCCTCCTTTACACAGAATTGAAGTTTCCTTAAATCTGTGCTCTATCCTAACCTAACTTCTAAGCGTATAATCTGTTTTCCTAAGTTGGGCACTGCTTTTCCAAGTGTAGTGCCCTAGTTCCCAAGGCCAGGCAGGTTCAGCATTGGCTTGTGCCAGCTCTCTCTAAACTTGGGAGCATTTTGCCAAAATATGGCAAGCTTATGTGTGAAGAGACCATGGACATACAAAGCCTGTACTGTAGGGGCAGTGAGGGCATCCTGGCTATCATTTACCTATGTTGTTTCCTAGGGTCTTTCCCTTCCCTTTCTCCTTCTTTCTACCCAAGCTTCCTTCTTGCCTTCCTCTCTGGTAAAACCTACCACACAAGAAGGATGACATTGGCCTGGAGTTCACTCATTTTGTTTACTTGCCCATTCATGCACTCTGAGTCACTTGGCCGGAGGCTCTCAGAAAGTTCTGGAATGAGATGCTTCATATAGCACCTGTGTGGGTGCTCAGTTCAGAGCTGTGAGGAAAGCAGAAAATTGGAGCCTCAGATTGTCAAGCATCCTGGACAGTGCTCAATGTGTTGGATTGTTGGAAGAGTTTATGTGTGAATCCTTGTATCCTCAATGTCGGTAGAACTGATGTTGAACTCCTGAGATCATTGTTACTGACAGAAGTAACTCCTGGAGAACAAGCTAAGGCTAACTGTATTCTCAACTTGTCAGAGGCTAACATTGCTGTTGATGTCAATCTACAATTAATACCATTTTCCCAGAAGGTAAAAGCTGAACCTTCTTTGCTTTAAGGGTCTATCTCTAGTCAACTTTTAAGTTGCTCTCTTGATATAATTATCTTTGGAAAAGAAATACCCGACTGTCCTTGATTTTGTGTAGAAACCATTTTGGACAGCAGAGGGCAGTGTGGCCATGCAAATGCTATAGAAACCTGCTACGCCCAGAGTGACCCCTGTTGGCCTCAGCCCAAGGAAGGTGTGTTAGTACCTGAGTCTGCTATTGCTTTATGGGTTTGGTTGTTCTCAGGAGGGGACATATTTTGAGAAAAGAAAGGAAGGAAGATTGCTATTGGTTTTGCAGCCTTCCTCTAGTCTTTCGAAAGTGCATACTTTGGGACAGTTCACTCTTTGTTGACATTTCAGTGTATGCATTTACAAGAGGGAGATTTCATTTTTTATCCAATGCACGTTAAGTAGTGTTTAATTTTTTTGTGGGAAGGTGTGAAGTAGACAGGAAAATGCTAGAGTACTTGGTAGTGCTAATAGAGTCAGAAAGGTAAAGTGGTTTTCTTTTGTGTTTTTGTGAGTGCTCATAGACACTCCTGGACCAAACAAGAAACTAGCCAGTGGTCCTCCTTTAGAGTTCACTGAGGCAGTGGTTGATTGTGAAATTTCATATTTTTTATTCTTGCTCCTGGATTCTGAGGAGAGGTAGAGAACATTAGTGGGAGCTGAATATCACATTGCTCATAACTTAGAAAGCAGACTGGCCAGAGCAGAGGATCAGCTGAAGTCTTACATCATTGGTGTTATTTTACATAGGGAAATGGAAGGATCTGCATGGAAGGGAAGTGGCTGCTTTGTGTATCCATCCATTGTGCTGCTTCAGTTGGTTTCTAGTTCTCTTTTAATTTAAGAAACTCTGTATGATGCAAACAAACTTTCTTTACACCAGTTGACCAGCATGCGAGTAAATAAAGAACAGTATTTAACATCTGTCCTCATTCCTTCTCGGGTTTCATTTCTTCCTGAGAGATACCATTATTAGAATATTGGAATATTTGTTGTTTTTTTTTTTGGTCTGATCGTAGGGCCTGAACTCTGGGCCTGGGCGCTGTCCCTCAGCTCTTCAGCTCAGGCTAGCGCTCTACCACTGGAGCAGTGACACTTCTGGCTTTTTGCTTATGTGGTGCTGAGGAATCGAACCCAGGTCTTCATGCATGCAAGGCAAGCACTCTACCACTGAGCCACCTTTCCAGCTCCGGAATATTTGTTCTTATAGTCATTTTTTCTATGGATTTGGATACAAACACCCATGTACACACCCATTTTATTTTAACTTACATAGAGGGAGCATATTATACCACTTTTCCTGATGTTAATTTTCTCAGGGATGTTTGTAATATTATTACTTCAGATTTTATTATCCTTTCTCTGCACATACCTCTTACAAATTTCTGTTTATTTGAACTTGTGATAGAGATTTTCAGGTTCACCCAAGAGAAGAGAGGGTGGTACAGTGAGCCCATGCCTGATGACCTGCTTCCTCTTCAACTTGAGGCCAGTCTTGTTTCATGGGTTCTGCCTGCCCGCCACCAGTGTTTCTAGAAGCAAATCCCAGACATATATGATTTCACCTGCACATAGTCTGTGTGACTTTGTAAGATACGGGCTTAAAGCTATGGCCAGAAGGTCATATCCAGCAACACACCTAAAAATATTCACAGAAGTAATTTTTTTGAGACAGAAGCTCATATATAGCCCAGACTGGCCTCAAATTTACAATATTCCTTCCTCAGCCTCCAAAGTGCTGGGGTTATAGGCATGTACCACCGTGACTAGTTCAATAGTAGTTCTTTAATATCAGCACATTTCTAGTCATTGCTCAAATGTACTGGATATATATTGTATCACATATGTATATGTATTCTGGGTGCCAGTGGCTTATGCCTATAATCCTAGCTCCTCAAGAGGCTGAAATTTGAGGATTGTGGTTCAAAGCCAGCCTGAGCAGCAAAGTCTATGAGACTCATACCCCCACAAAGCTGGAAGTTGAGCTGTTTCTCAAGTGGTAGAGCATCAGTCGTAAGTAAAAAACCTCAGGGACAGGGCCCAGACTCGGAATTCAAGCCTCAATACTGGCACAATAAACAAATGTAGACAGACAGATAAATAGAAATACCTTAATAAATGGTACTAGGGTTTAAAGGGGTTTGAGCTTGCTAGGTAAACTTTTACCACTCGAGCTCTCCCCTCCCCCTTGCCCTGCCCTGCCCTCCTCTTTTTAAAGTTATTTTTTGGAATCTTGCTTTTGCTTGAAGGCTGGCTGACCTTGGATCATGATCCTTCTAACCATGCCTCCTGAATAGCTGGGATGGCAGGGCATGGGCCACCCAACCTGACATTTCTTCCAATCTCTACTTCTTGTAGCTGAGATTACAGTTGGATTAACCAATGCCAAATCCATAAAAACAGTTTTTCAGTTTGACTCAGTAAACAAAAAAGGATGACCAGTAGGATTGGTCAGCTTTTGTTTTGCTTTGTTTGCTGCAAGCTTTATACTTGAGGAGTTTGCAGGCCTGATTAGACATGTGGTTTCTAGGAAAGCAGAGGATAAACTTACAGGCAGAGGGTGCTGAAGTAACAGGAGAACTGTGAGAAATCTGCAAGATGGGAGATAGGAGGGTGGAGAGCCTGAGGCTGGGAAGGAAGCCTCTGCCCTGTAAGGAAGCTTACTGCCCTGTAGTCAGTCTGGAAGCTCTGGGTGCCACAAATGTTGAGAACTCTTCCACTGATAGAATTATTGGTCTTTCACAGGTGTGATCATCATCCTAATATTTTCTCAGCCACACGTTTTCTGTTCAGCCTCTGGAACTGATCTCTGATTTAGGGATCCATAATAGGAAAACAGAATGTGCTGCTGAGAAATTCACTTTTCAGTCAATGTGAAACATGTGTTCTGTAAAGCCAGGGTGCTTGTGATCTTTGCTCTATGACCATGCTATGGAAAGCTTGGCAGCAGAGGCTGAGACAGTCAGTGGTTGTCTGTGAGTAGCAGGGCTGGTGTGAGGTGAGTTTGACTAATGGCACTTTCTAAGGTAGCAAATGGAGATTGCATGTGTGCTCTGTGACACAGGCATTCTCAGACACCATATTCTCTTGCTGCTGCTGCTTAATACCTAAACCCCTTCTCTCCCCCCTCCCTCCCAAACAAAGTAACAAGATTGAGGCCACAGAGACAGAATAACAGAATCAAAGAAAAGGTTGATGTGATGTGTGCCTGGTACCTTTCTTTCCACATGCATTCACCCCTCTCCTCTGGGGCTGGGGTGTAAGAGCCTAATCAGCCACAGCCCTGGCTTACCTGGACAGCTTGGTGCCTGTCTACAATATCCATGTCTGTTTCTCTGCACAAGGGCCATAGGCCTGTGTGGAGTCTGCTTGCCTTCATAGCCATGGAACCTACCCAAGAGTTCATGCTGGATGGATTCAGGACTGCATGCTAATCAGGAAAAATCAGACCGTATGTTGGTACTAAGGATAGTCATTACATGTCAGAAGTAGGCTGGCAGCTGGAGAGGTTTTTAGCCTTCACATTACCTCACTCACCAGTTCTTGGTTTCATAAAGCTTAAACAAACAGAGTGGGATTTCCAGAGGTGGTTGAAATATCTTTGAACTTAAACTGGTCATGTTAGAAGGGAATGTAGGTTGTCATCAGGGCAAGGAGCACATTGGTAGCAATCAGTATTGCAACAAATGTGGTTTCTCAGTCCAGACATTTTGGCTCAGTTTACAGCATGTACAACTGGCAAAACTGCTCCAGAGAATGGCATCTATGGTCTTGGGCCCTCTGGGACAGAGTAATAGGGAAAGGTGGTGTGACGGACACCTGCTTCCTCTCTCTGATGAAGTGTCATTGCACTACTTGTGGATCCAATTAGAACAATATGCTGACTGTTTTCTAATTAAGAAGAGGAAAAACTAGAGTATGCAATGTGCAAGGGAAGACTAAAGTCTACTTCCTGGATTCTACTTCCTGCACAAGGTATTGGGTTGATAAGACCGAGTTGCTGTGATTGACATAGGGCTCCGGATGACAGAAGAGAACCTGCTAGGCAGAGATTGTAGAGGTGGGCCTAATGCGATTCAAGATTTGATACTCAGTCACCTCTGTTCTCCATGCCTAGTATCTCCAAGGTTCTAGGCAGAGGGTGGAAAATGACTGCTCCAGCCTGTTTTGCCTTGCAGGCCTGCTATTATTCCTGTTGCTGTGAATCTGTTTAATAAAGTATGACTCTGGAAGGAGGTGAGTGGGGTCTGAAGCAGAGGGGTTCTTCACAGTGTCCCTGGGCTATGATGTATTTAAAAAAAGATGAGAAAGTGGGCTGGGAAGGTGGCTCAGTGGTAGAGTGCTTGCATGAGGCCCTGGGTTCGATTACTCAGCACCACATAAGCAAAAAGAAAAAAGCCGGAAGTGGCGCTGTGGCTCAAATGGTAGAGCACTAGCCTTAAGCTGAAGAGCTGAGGGACAGCGCCCAGGCCCAGAGTTCAGGCGTCACGACCAGACCCCCCCCCCAAAAAAAAAAAAAAAAGATGAGAAAGCAAGGAAAGACTTTTAAGACCCAGGAGAAGGCTGATAATTTCAAGACAGGAAGCAGCTGATGTGCATTATCTGTTACTGTTCTTATAAAGACTCAGTAATTCCTATCCCTTCCACAGATTCATAAGATTGGGAACCTTCTTTCCTTCTCATCATTTGACAAGTCTTTTGCTTTCAGGGCACTGTTGGCTGGAGGTGGCTTTTCTACATGGACGTATCGGCAAGGCTATGATGTCAGCATCCCAGTCTACAGTCCATTGTCAGCTGAGGTGGCTCTTCCAGAGAAAGGACCAGGGTAAGAACACTGTCAGCACCACCAGTGTGCCTTTACCGAGTCTTTGGGGGTGCTGGTGAGGCCTAGCATGGGAGTATGCCAGTAACCAAGGCATGGTTTTCATGAGTATACTATTTGTCTCACTGCACCCTATCAGTTAACTCCCAGGGCTGCCTACTAAGTTTTCCAAACTAGGAATCTGTAGCATCCTTAATTCCTTCTTCCTTACTTCTTACATCAAAAGAGTAAGTCCCATTGATTCTGTGCTGAGAATACTCCTTACATCTATCTGCTCCCTCTCCTCTGCTGTTGCCTTGTCCTAGGCTACTGCCATCTTCCTAAATAACATTCTGTTTAGTGTCCCTGCCTTTAGTCTGGCTACTGGACTGGTCCTTGAACAAAGAATAAAAGCCCCAGATCCCTGAAATGACTGTCAAGTCCCAATGTCATCTGACCACCCATCTTTATTGCCAGACTTCTCTCTGAGAATGCATTGCTTTTGGTTCTTAGCTCTCTACATCTTTTCAGGCTATGAATGTTCTCTGTTGCCTGGAAATCTTTCTCCTCATCTTAATCAGCCTTACATTGTGCTCATCCTTTAGGTTTCAACTTGAAACTGCTTTCTTGGGGGTGGGTGGGGTGTACATTCTTCACTCTGGACTGGCTACTTTGCCTTAGCTCATGTATCAGGCTGCCATTTTCCTGGAGTGACACTCATTATGCCCTGGCATCATTACTTGCTGACAGCCTGTCATCTTTGGACTCTGGGTTTTGTCACTGCAATGAAGCAGGGGCCAGGTCTGCTTTTTACTGTCATAGTGTGTCTGACACATAGTTGGCTTATAGTTTAATATGCAGGATAAGTGAAAAAAGCCAATAGCGTGGGTGGGGTAGGGTTTTTTTCCCCCTAACTTTTTATTTTTCCTCTGTATTGGTTTAAGCTGTTGCTATTGGCTCACACTTTTAAGCCTAGTTACTCAGGAGGCTGAAATCTGAGGAAGTTCCAGGCCAGCCCAGACAGAAAAGTCTGTTAGACTCTTAGTTTACTAGCAAAAAGCTGTGAGTGGAGTTGTTCAAGTAGTAGAGTGGCCAGCCTTGAGCAAAAAAGCAAGGGTAAAAAAGAGTGTGAGACCCTGAGTTCAAGCCCCAGTAGTGGCACAGTGGAGAGTATTCAGTGAGGTTTAAATGAACATGGTTATAATAAAACTATTCTTCTATGAGAAGTAAAGGTAAAAAGGTGACTGAAATCCCAACACTAAAATGTCACCAGGTGACATTTAAAATCCATTCATACTATTTGGTGGTAGAAATTGTTTAAAGCCAGCCTGGGTAGGGAAGTCCATGAGACTCTTATCTCCAATCCACCAGAAAACTGTGGCTCAAGTGGTAGAGTGCTTGCCTTGAGCTGAAGAGCTCAGGGATAGTGCTCAGGCCCAGTTCAAGCCCCACCAAAGGAAAAAAAAAAAAAGGAAAGAAAACAAAAGAAAAGGATCTCAAGGAAATAGAACCATTTTCTGAACATCCTAGACTTTGAGAAGTAGCACCATTCTCTCCTACATGTGTTCTTCCTTGTGGCCTGGCACCAAAATCTGAAGCTAACTGTAGTCACTTGTGTAGCTGATGATATTTGGTCATTATACAAAGCCAAGGTCAGAAATTTTTTATACCTTTAGGCAAGTGCAAAGAAAGACTGGATGACTCTTGGACTTGTAACTTATTTCATCATCCTAAATAGGTTTCCCATTAATGAAGTCCCAAAGTTGACTTAATTTATTGCTTTAAAAATTGTAATTAATCCACTTTTTTTTGAGACAGTAGCACAAGTTGGCCTGCAACTTAGGCAACTTAGGATCCTCCTCCTCCCCCTCCTTTTTTTCCTCCTCCTCCTCCTCCTTCTTCTTCTTCTTTTTTTTTTTTGTCCGTCATGGGGCCTGAACTCTGGGCCTGGACACTGTCCCTCAGCTCTTCAGCTCAAGGCTAGTGCTCTACCACTTGAGCCACAGCACCACTTCTGGCTTTTTCTGCTTATGTGGTGCTGAGGAATTGAACCCAGGGCCTCATGCATGCAAGGCAAGCACTCTACCACAGAGCCACCTTCCCAGTCCCCATGCCCAGCTTTTTTTTTTTTTTTTTTTGGTCAGTCATGGGGCTTGAACTCTGGGCCTGAAAGCGTCCCTCAGCTCTTCAGCTCAAGGCTAGCACTCTACTACTTGAGCCACAGCGCCACTTCCAGTTTTCTGGTGGTTTATTGGAGATAAGAGTTTCACAGCCTTTCCTGCTTGGGCTGGCTTTGAACTGCAATCCTCAGATCTCAGCTTCCTGATTAGCTAGGATTACAGGTATGAGCCACTGGTGCCTGGCTCATGCCTAGCTTTTAAAATGAATATTTGAAATAGTTTCTTACTATGTTGGCAAGGCTAACCTTGAACTTATAATTATCTTTCTTTTACTTCCCAAGAGCTGGTATGCCAGTGTTCCTGACCCAGATTCACAGTTTTATAAAGTGTGCAGATCAGTAGTGTTTAGTATATTCACAAAGTTGTACACCTACCATTAATATTACTATCCAATTCTAGAACATTTTTGTTACTCTAAAAATAAAATGTTACCTCAGCATCAACTACTATAGGATGGTCTTGGTTCCAGTGTTTCATATACTGATTTCTTTTTGGATTCTCAGTTCTAATCTTGTTGCATATATGTCTTTCCTTAAGCCAGTCCCATACTGGCTTGATTATTAAGCTTTGCACCAATTTTGAAATAGGTTAATGTGAATTCTCTGACTTTGTAACTTTTCCAATGTTTTACTGCTGTTCTGAGTCTTTTGCTTTTTAACTGTTTCTTTTATACTATTATTTAAAATAAGTACAATTAAAAAATATAAACTCCTTGTGCTTGAACTCCTAAAGTACAAAGCTCATGCAAACTTACAACTGGAGTAATAAAATACCTACAAAATTAATGGTATACTAACATAGTGGAATTCTATCCATGTGGGTTCATTGGGCTTGGCAAGCCCATGTGGGTTCATGTTGAGTGATAATATAATTTACCTGCCATGTTTTCTCTTTGAACCAATAGGATTCTTCCCTTTTTGTAGCACATTGGAACAGCATTTATCTATATCTGTTGCAGGTACAAGATTCGTATGCTTGAGAATAGCTACTATGAAAAATTTTAAGTAGAGAGCTGTTTTTAAAATTTTTTACAGTGAACATAATGCCTGCAGTCACCTAGATTCTATGCATTTTGCTATACTTGGTTTGTATGATTCTTATTTTAAATATAAATCATCACCCTCTTCTCATTAGCCCACTAAATATGTACTTGGACATTATTTTCTGTTGCTGTAACTGAGCACCACAGGCAGAATACTTTATAAAGAATAAAGGTTTATTTGGCTCATGGCTCTGATGCCTGGGATGTTCAAGATCAGCAGCTGTATCTGATGAGGTCCTTGCTGTGGGGATCTTCTGCAGGTTCCCAATGGGGTGCATGATGAGACAGAATATTCTAGCTTAGGCTTCTTATAAAGCCGTTGTCCCATTGGATTAGGACCCCATTCTTATGGCCTCATTTAACTATAATTACTGCCAGAGATCCTGTCTCTAAATATCATGGTTGAATTAAGTTTCTACTTTCTTACTCCTTCACAGTGGGTATTCAATTTCAACTTGAAGAGTTTTAGTGGGAATATTTCAACCATAGCAGACACGGATTTTTTAAATTCATTATTGTGAGCAAAAATATGCCTTTACTATTTTTAAAATAAGCAAAATGAAAATACAAAATAATTCTTATGGAGTGTACTACTGAGGAAAATTATATATTTAGCTCAATGTCCTGTTTTGAAGCTAGAGTTCCACAAATTGAGAAAGGGTAATCTCAGTGAGCCAGCTGGTGCCCTCTGGGGCAGTGCAGATTTCTCTCATGTGCTGAGGATCTTAATTTGGCCTGTTTATGTTGCATGAAATGTGAAATATGAATAAAAAGTAGAAAAATTTTCTCCTTAGCTTGATGCTTCTGTGAGCATTTATTTAAATCAGTGTGTGATAAATGATTTTTTTTTCTTTTTTTCCCTGAAGTTGTTCTGAAATATGTTTCACTTGGGTTCATGCCAAACCTTGATTGAAGGCCTGTATGTGTCAAGTATTAAGCTAGGTGGTGATGCTCAACAGGAGGAGAGGGAACTTCAGCTGGCTTTGACCAGGATGCTTGACAAAACATAAACTTTTTGACTGTCGTGACTAAGGGGGTATAGCCAGTGCCTGCAGTGTCTGTGATTTGCCAAACATCAGAGGACTGTGTGGAATTTGCTTTAGCCCGAGTTGTGATTAAGCACTGTGAAAGGATGCAAATCACAGTCTGGAAGGGGAGAGGTGCATGGAGTGATGTCCAGGGGAACCAGCCCGAGTGTCCACGTATCCTCTTTTGTGGGGCCACACAGGACATGCAGCACATGAGAAATGTTAAACAGAACAGCTTGCAGACTCAGAACAATGGTTTTTGTAGGGAGCTGATCGCATTGGCTCTCTCTTCTTGGCATAGCTAGAACTCCAGACTCCCACATAGCAGGACAGGGTTCTACATAAGCCATCTTGTTGGCACAATTTGGGCACAGTGAGCCTTACTTACTACTTCTGGGGATTATGTGAACCTTCCTGAAGTCTAAGTTTTCAGATGCCAGTCAAGAAGCCAATATTATAAACAAGGCTTTCAGCATTGTCACGACTAGAGTCTGTGGCCAGATGGAGAGTCTGTGAAGATCACTCCATCGGGCAGCTTAGCTGCTGTGGGCCTTTCTGGCTTAGGTACACCTTTCTTTTAGCCACTTGTACTAAACTCTTGTTATGATCTAATCTCTAGCATAATCTAGTTCTTTTCTGTTGGTTTAGGACTTCCTTTAATTCCCTCCAGATTTAATCCAGGGAAGAAAATCCTGAAAAGACTTAGTGTAAATGAAGGTGAGCCCACCCCATGGAACAATGAAGATCATTTTTAGATAATTGGTTTCACAGGTTTAAACTGTTATTTTGGTGGTATTTTTGTAGTAATTTGATCTCTCTCATTTTTATGTATAACTATTCTGAATTTAAGATCTTTAACTTGATCACTTAAAGTTTTAGTTAGTTTTTAAAGTTCTGTGGTTCAATAACTTGGTAAGATATCACCTAATCTTCAGAGTAACCCAGAAGAGGTTAGGGCCCACTGCACATGGCCCTTCCTCTGCTGGCCAGTGGATAGATTTCTGCATTGAGACCTGGGCCTGTGCTCACTGCAGCCATGCCAGCTTGAAGTCAAGCTCTGGAGTGTGGTGTTATTTTTAAAAGGAACATTCTTTTTCTGCCCTCTGAAAACAAAGGACAACAGAAATGGAAAGACAGGAGCTTGGAGGATGAGGCAGGTTAGGCCTCAAGCACCATGTTGGGTTTCTTGCCCTTTGTGAGACTTGCGTCTCAGGGAATTCCCACATCTCCCAAGGACAGCCCAAAGTAGCAAGTACTCTGTTTTATTTTTACTTTATGTCTCTCTGAATCCTTTTAAAATGGGAAGCCAAGGCTTGTTGCTATTGATAGCTTCTTCTCATAGTTCTTGTTGGTCCCAACTAGAATTCTTGCCATTTTCTTTCTTAAATGAACTAAATTAGGAGTTTACAGCCATTTCTATTGAGGGAGACTTCAAGTTCTCAGCATAATTTTTAATTTTTTTTATTGTAAAAATGCTGTACAAAGAGGTTACAGTTACATGAGTAAGGTAATGAGTACGTTTCCTATTGGGCATTGTTACCTCCTCCGCATAATTTTTTTAAACTTAGATATTAGCCCCACTGGGAGAAAATAGGAAAATCATAGCTAGTAATTTTAGGTTTTGAAAGGAAAACAAATCCACCTGAACTGAAATGGGCATTCTCCATCAGCCACCTATGAGGTCAAGGAAGGCCAGCATGTTTGTGGGGGAACTAGTTAGATTCTAGTTCACATCTATATAGTTGTTCTGGAGCCGGAACTTTGGTACAGTGAGATCTAGTGTTCCTGGTTATTGAGCATCTGAAACAGAACTTTGTTTCTTAGCATTGAACTCTGACCCTGAATGTGTCTTTTCTGAGTTCTTTGAGTATCAACACATTAACAACTGTACTTATTTCTGAATCTGCATAGACCAGCATTTTTACTGTATCCATGTATATCAAGTGCATGAATTTGTGTCAGTATCTGTAGGTTTTCCAGCTCTGCAGGGCATTCTGATTCTGCCTTCTCCTATGATGTACAGTGTTTATACAGCTTAATGCACCCTCTGTGTGTAATCCAGTAGTGCTGCTCATGTTCCTGTCTCAGGTCAAGCTCTCCATATACGAGTGCTTGGGGGACATTTATGATTCAAACCATAACAGTTGCTCTGGTTGGCCTTGACCTTGGTTTAGCAGTCCTCCTGCCTCTGCCTCCTGATCTATACTTAGAAATCCTTTTTTTATTCCATTTTCCTTGAAGCAGCCTTGCCATCCATATTTTGAGACTGATTCCACGCTTTGGAAATCAGAAGTTTTTCACTTCTGATTTTCAACTTCTTATACTGTCTGTTTAGCCTTAATGATGGGGACTCTTTTCCCAGAGCCTCTCCATGGCATAGGAATGCCACTTGCCAAGCTGTCAATCATGTGGATTCCCTCTCCCCTGTTTGAAGAATGCAGCCAAACTGTTTCTTTTAGATCTGAGACTCAGATTTTAACTAAAGATAACACTGATGTTCTATCTGAAGAATCATCAACTAGTCACATTCCTTTCTCTCTATACTCAGATTTATATATGCTCTTCATTCTTATCATCATGAGTATTTAACTCACATTAAGAACTTTTACTAAGCCAGGCCCTTGTGGCTCACACCTGTAATCCTATAAACCAGCCTGGGCAAGACACTTATTTCCAGTTAACAACCAGAAAAGCCAAAAGTAGAACTTTGGCTCATGTGGTCGATTGCTAGCCTTGAGCACAAAAGCTTAGAGACAGTGCCCGGGCCCCAAGTTCAAGTGCCATGACTAGTGCACATGCAAGCATGTGTGCGCATGCTTATACACACACATGCACAAACTTTTCTTGAAGCTATGATGATGTAATATTTTCAGAATACAAGTGAACTATACATTATTTTCTTATAGCATGTAATGTTTTAAATATTCAATAATGCTATGTAGTATAATTTCTAAGAAAAAAATCAGTTCTGGTGAGCAAACACTTGTTGTCATAAATTCAGTATTTTCTAAGTTTTTTCTAAGTTTTCTAAGTATTTTCTAAGTTCAGTTTTCTAACTTGACTAACATACCAGGTGCAGTTTTTCAGTTTCCTTCTTATTCCTTTGTAGTCCCCGGCGATACTTTCTCCTGTCCTCTCAGATGGCACTCCATCCTGAATACAGAGAGGAGCTAGAAGCCCTCCAGAACAAACATAGAGAGTCAGTGTTGGTTCTCAACAAATGCACGAATCTCTCAGAGGGCGTCCTTTCTGTCCGCAAGCGCTGCCACAGCCACCAGGTCTTCGATTACCCCCAGGTGTTGCAGGTGAGTATTGTTTATAACCTTTCTTGCTCAGGAGAAACCACTGTCCCAGGGTAAAACTCCTGGCAGCAGGAGTTATTTTCCACATGCACCCTGGGACTGTTGTCCAAGGGAGGGCACAATGCAGTGTTGCACATTACTGCAGTTCTTCTGCTACCACATGGGTACCTGGCATACTATGTACATGGAAGCTGTTTGGACAGAGTACAAGTATGATGTGCTGCATGAATGATCATACTTGTACTTCAGAATCTCAGATCGGGTAAGTTCATAGGAAGTCATATTAGAAAAAGCAGACACATGTATTTTATGTTTACCCCTGATTCATGGGCCAATCCAAAAAAATGCTCTCCCTTCTAGTGGCAGCTTGTATCTCTGGACCACAGTAGCCCATCACTTTCCTTGGAACTAGAGAGGTATTTGGGTTTTGGGTGGATTTGTCCCCCTTAGCATATCCTGCCAGGAGCATACCCTTCTCTTATACCATGGGCTGGCCATCCTCCATGACCAAAGGTGAAGCAATGCTCTGGGAATATTTTATAGGTAAGATTTTTGATATTGCAAGGAGATGGAGTTCAGAGAAGGAGAATTTGAGTTTAGTTCACTTAAATATTTAAAATGCAGACAGGTTAGTTGAAAGAGAAATATCAAGAAGCTGGTGTGAATTTTTTTGTTGTTGTTAACCCCAGTAAGCTGGTCCGTACTGAGATTGTTAAAATACTTTCTCTCAAGAAGTGCAGCTTCTCTCTTTGGAATGTGTGACTGATAACAGTGGTAATAGGAGCAGGAGAATTTATAGTAACCTTTGTCTAGACAGGAAAAGTGGTTATCACATGTGTGTTCACATCTGGACTTGACTTCTCAGTTGGGCAGAACTGTCTACCTACACTGCAGGCACCATATCAGATACTCTTCCTCCATTCCTATTGCTTCTCTTCTTTATCACCAGAGGACTTAGGGACATTAAGTCCTTCCCTCCCTCCCTCCCTTTTTTCTTCTCTTATTTCCTCCCTTCCTTCCTCCCTCTTTCTGTTCCTTTATGTCTTTTTTTTTCTTTTTTCCAGGTAGGATCTCACTCAGTAGCCCAGGCTGACCTTGAACTTTTGATCCTCCTGCCTCAGTCTCCTGAGTACTTGGGTTACAGGTATACACCACCACACCTAGCTTCTTTTTTTGACATTAATCATTTGATCATATTTTATTTATTTTAAGTAATTTATTATTTTTTGTGTGTGTGCTGGTCCTAGGGCTTGAACTCAAGGGCTAGGTGCCACTTCTGAGCTTTTTTGCTCAAAGCTATTGCTCTACCACTTGAGCCACAGCTGTACTTTAAGCTTTTTGCTTGTTAATTGGAGATAAGAGTCTCAGGGGCTTTTCTGTCCAGGCTGGCTTCAAATTGCAATCCTCAGATCTCAGACTCTTCTGTAGCTAGGATTACAGATGTGAGCCATCAGCACCTGGTACCAAGCCCTGCTTTTTGCTGATTAATCAGAGAGAGAGAGTATGTCATGGCGTTTTCTGCTTACACTGACTTTGAACTGTGATCCTGAAATCTGAGCCTTTTGAGAAGCTAGGATTACAGGTGTGAGCCACCAGTACCTGGCTCTTGATGCTTTTCAAAGGCACTCCATCCTTAAGGGAATATCTTCTAGATGCTTTGGGGACTAGAGAGACCTTCCCTTTGGACGTCTTCTTGAGAGCCCAGTATTCCTGCTACAGGTGGGCTGAGGTCAGTGCTGTGAGTCATGTTCAGAAGAGGTTCCATGCTGTGTTTCCATAATATACTGGCACTAGAAGAAAACAGATTGCAGGAGGTCAGGTGGTGGCCTGTTCAGAGAAAGACTTGCACATTTTTTTCTTTTTTGAAGTACTGAGGTTTGAACTAAGAGCTTCATGTTTGCTTAACTGGTGTTCTACCATGTGAGCCATGCCTCTAGCCCTGCTTTTTGCTGGTTATTTTGGAGATGAGGCCCTGGCTGGCCTTCAACTGTAACCTTTGGGATCTTAGCCTCTGAGTAGCTAGGATTACAGGCAGGAGTCATTGGTGCTCAGCTTAGATGTTGTTTTGAACATGTGCAGAATGCTAGCTCTGATGGCATTGGAGTGACAGTAAAGATTCAAATAGGAAGCATTGCATCCAGTTATGCTTTTCATGCTTTACAGTTGCAAACTGTTGTCTTTTGGCATTTGTGTCAAAATGCCTCAAGACTGCTTGGTGTTAAGCCTTGGAGGGAACTTCCTGATCTGCAGGGATCCAAGAAAGTGGCACAGCGGCCCTGGTTTGTAACCCTCAACTTGCTCTTGTGTTCCTGCAGGAAGCTACTTTCTGTGTGGTCCTTCGTGGAGCCCGGCTGGGCCAGGCGGTACTGAGCGATGTGTTACAAGCTGGTTGTGTCCCAGTTGTCATTGCAGACTCGTATATCCTGCCCTTCTCAGAAGTTCTTGACTGGAAGAGGTGAGTATTACTGTCTAATTACCTTAGCTAGTGGTTTTTCTAGTATTAGAAATAAAAAGCCATTCAGGTATTTGTAATACATACTTAGTTTAAGAACTGTATATTGTGCTTTAAAATCTCTGAAACTTTTTGAGTGTTCTTATGATGCCACAAGTGGAAAATTCCACCCGTCCTCATGGTGTTACTGTCAAATGCTAGTGTAAATTACCTTCCGCCTGTATATGTAATATGTAACCTCAGACAGTAAGGTATATTTGCAGTAGAAATGGATTTTATGTTTAGAGTCTCTCAAGATATCTAGTCATGTTTAAATATTTCGAGATATGAAGTAATCTGAAATAGATGTGGTATTGGGTTACAGAGAAGGGATACCCAACCTGTACTACTTGAGCCTATTTGCTGTATCTTCCTTCAGGAGACTCAGTATATTTGGTTTAGAGCTGCTTACAAACAGGACAATGGGACAGATTTGCAGACTGGCTTTATTGATACATAGCCATGTCTCTTCATTTGTATGTTTGTTGACTTAAGTTATTTATGCAGAGTTGAGAAGTTATGAATTACAAAGCCTAAAATGTTGGCTAACCAGCCTTTTGCAAAGCAATTGCCAACCCTATTCTAGAGCAGTAGATTTTAATATGACTCCAGAGTATACTCACTTGGAGAGCATTTAAAAATACCTGGCCTTACCCTGGGGCTATTTTAAAGTTCCAAGGCAGCCAGCTTTATGGTCATGGTTGAGAACCATGAGATGGAGAGTTGCAGAGATGGGGAGTTTTCACAATGTACTGGCTGATAGTGGACAGCCTTGCTGCGTGAAGACTGAGGTATATGCCCAAGGACAGAGGGACAAAGTAGACTCTGCTTGTTTATGTTCAGGGAATAGGCTGCTTAGAGGTCTCATGCTGCTCACTCTTGTCTTGTACATAGCTGCTTTCTTCCTTTCCAGCTTTTTGATAGTTTACCCAAGTGTGATGGTCATATAGTTATTTTAGAGTTTATAGCCCTAATTCATTAATTTATTCATTCATGTTACATTTGTTATGAACAATCCAGAGTTACTGCTTTTGAGAAGGCTAGAATCTAGTAGGAGAAGACAGACCAATGATTAAGGCTAAGTGTTCTTTATCTGAAGTGCTGGGGGCCAGAGTGTTTCAGACTTGGGGTGATGTTTTTTTTTGATTTTGGAATATTTGCATACATATAAGGAGCTATATTGAGGAGAAGACTCAAGCCTCAATATGGCATAGCCTGAAGTAGTTTTTATACAACATACGTGTGTATGCGTGTGTGTCTGTGTGTGTGTGTGTGTATACATATGTATGCAGGCTGATCCTGGGGTTTGAACTCAAGACCTGGACACAGTCTCTGAGCTTTTTCTTACTCAAGACTAGCTAGCACTCTACCACTTGAGTCACAACTCCACTTCTTGCTTTTTGTGGTTAACTGGAGAGAAGTCTCATGGACATTTCTGCTTGGGCTGGCTTTGAACTGTGATCCTCAGATCTCAGCCTCCTGAGATTTATAGGCATGATTTACACTGGTACCCTACTTATATAATGTTTCTAGTAATTGTGTACATGCAATAGTTTCGTGGTATAGAATTTTCTTCTTGTGGCATCATGTTGGTACTCAAAAAGCTTTACATTTGGAGCATTTTGGATTTCAGCATTTTGGATCAGGGAAAGCTCTCTTAGAAAATGCCATAGCAAATATTTGCCCATGGGGGCTATGGCAGCACAGAACAGAGGGAGTCTGACTCCACTTGAAAGAGGTGTGAAGTCATTCTTCACATCTTGGAGAAGTGATGAGCCACTTTCAACATTATACACCCATGAAAACATTTATTTAGCACCTTTTATTTGCCAAGCATTGCCAACACTTGCCAGGTATGAAAATCACAAGGTCAAACCTTCTAAGAAACTCATGATTTAGAGGTGGCAGCTAGGAAAATACAAATTGTGATGTGATGGGGTGTGACTTAGACCCGACTGGATAGGATGCTAAGAGAGAGGAGGAGGCAGAGGGATCAGTGAGGGCTGCATAGAGGCAGTGATTCAGGGCTGGCTGTGAGAAGATATTTCTACAAGGACTCAGATCTGCTTGGGTATTTTACTTACAAATATGTGAAGGAAGTCAGAGTGAAGTCAGAAAATGTGGGTTCAGATAACCTACACTATATATATATATATACTTTTCCCCTCCAGTACTAATGTTTGAACTCGGCATTGTATTGGCTTGGCTTTCTTGCTTATGGCTGGTACTCTACCACTTAAGCCACATCTCTTGCCCTGATTTTTGCTGGCTCTTTTGGAGGTGGAGTCTCTTGGGCTTTTTTGCCTGGGCTGGCTTTGAATGGTGATCCTGATATCTCAGCCTCCTGAGTGGCTAGGAATATAGGTGTGAGCCACCAATGCCCCATTCATTTCAACCTTCTTGATCCTTAGTTTTCCTACCTGAATAACAGAAACAATTTATTTATTTGATAAGTTACCAAGTGCCAACTGTGCTAGGCAGCATTCCAGGTACTCAGGATCTACTGGTGAGTGGAGCCAAGCAGTTTCTATTTTAATAAACCAGCCTAGTAGGTGAAAGTAGAGGGTAGATTTCAGTGAGTTAATTTGTACTACAAACTCTTCTGTCTGTGGGAAGTCATTGTTGAATCCTTTTTTTCTTACTCTGAATATGTAATCTGAGAGCAAATGCTGTGGGGTGGGACCTCTCATCTCTCAGCAATGCCTCCCTCATCAGCAGCTCTGGTCTACCTCTGCAGGGCTCTCAGCCTTTTTCTTACTCCCACATCTGCTTCCTGTAGTTTGTTCCAACACTTTAGATGGCGTGGTCCTGTGGGAACCTATTCAGAACTTGTCAGGCCTTTGCCTAAAACCTCCCAGTGGTTTTCCATCGCATACTACCAAGTCCTTCTGTGGCTTCCAAGTTCTGTGTTGTGCCTTGCAGTGGTGACCCTGCCTCCCTTGTTTCTCCTTGGCTCCTGATATTCTCCATCCTGTTTACCCAGCTCTAGCCATGGAGCTCTCCTTCCACTTCCTGGAACATGCCCAGTATACTGGGAAGGCCTCCTAGGACCTTTCACAGCTTGAGTAAGCTCCCTGGCATTCTTATGGCCTCCTATCATCTTCCTTGCCTGATCTGTCCTGTTTGTTACCAACGCCCAACACATAGTAGAACCTCCACAAATTAATGATGAATAGATGAGTAAATTTGCATAGAAAGATGAAGGGGGAAGTTAATGTTAATTCAGAGAATAAAGAGTGAAGAATGTGCCATTGTTGAAAGAGCAGGTTAAGCGGTACACTGCTGATCTGTGAGCCTAAGGTCCTGAATTTGAATATCAGTACTGTACCAGGTAAGCAGAATTTGCAGAATTTGATATGCAAAGGCCTTATGGAGGGCAGAGCATGGTATGTTAATGTTAATTGACTGAAAGAATGACAGTATGGCTAGGTTGCACCAGTAGAGTGAAGGCAAATGAAAAATAATTGGAGTGGAAATGGGTGAGAAATTATTGCTCTGAGATGAGGTCAACCATGAGTAGAGGAGGGTGAGAGACTACTTCCTGCAGGGGATATAGGGCTAAAGGAATTTGGGGGTGTTGACTCAGCTTGAGAGAAGAAAACAATACTGTATGTGGCAGGGCTTGCTGTAAAGAGCTGCACACATGTAAATTGTTTGGCTGTTTTCTCTAGAGCTTCGGTGATTGTCCCAGAAGAAAAGCTGTCAGATGTGTACAGTATTTTGCAGAGCATCCCGCAAAGACAGATTGAGGAGATGCAGAGACAGGTAAGTGGCCAGGTGCAGGCAACTCTGTTGGGGAAGGGTCCTGAGGATGCCCCAGGGGTCTGCCTGGGCACAGAGGGACAGCAGCCAAGAGCTGGGGCTCATCTTCTCTTTGTATCCACTACCCAAACTTAAATTTGCGAAGGGAAGGCAGGGCTGGGCAAGTTACTTCAAATAATAACTGTCAGAGTTTTAAAACTTTGTGGAGTGAAGTCTACTGCTATTTTAGGGGTCCTCCTGAAGCAGTGTCTTTAAGGTGTGAAACAAGCCTTTGGCAGGTTTGGAGTCACAGCATTGACTGGGACACCCAGAGACACTGAACCATCTTGAGGTAGTACTTTTGTGGTCATGGCTTGAGGATGCTGTTGTGCACATGATCCTAGGCTCCCAGTTTGGATGGCCTTTGTAACACAACATCTGTCCTGACCCCTTGAATACCCGAACATGCTCCTGCTTCCCTTTCCAGACCTGCTCCATCTTCTGATGCTCCTCATGGTGGCTCTCTGCCTGCCTGAAGAACTCCATTGAGTGTCCTAGTTAGTCTTACTTTCCTTTCTTTCTCCAGAAAGAAAACTAACTTTGCTTAAATATCAAGCAAGTTAAGGAAATTTCAGAGACTATCATTATATTGGTACTATTTGTTTTTCCTCTTTCTTTTCTTAATTTAAAAAAATGTTTTATGATTTCTTAAATTTTATCTGTGTGGAAGATAGCAGGGGGGACTAGGAGGCTCTTAGCCATATTGCTTTGGCAAGGGACCTCTGTATACCTTGATCAGAGAATAGCTCCAGGCTTCTGTCTGGATGAGGGTCGATGGTCACCTGGCTGTGAGATGAAGAGATCTGATGCCATTTGTTTCCTAAGTATGTCATCAGCCTACTCTCCTGCTCTTCTCCCCATCTTTACCATCTCTCAGGGTTTGGCTATGTAACTGGGTGTCTTTCCTTCAGTGATTTCATGTGCATCTCTCGTGGGCCTAAAGCGTCAGCTCCCACTCTCTCTTTACTTTTCAGCTCCCACACTTTGGTAATGCAGTCTTAGTCTCCCTTTCTCTTTTTCATAGGATGCTGGTACCTCGATTTGTAAAGCTCCTCTTCATTGTCATTTGAGGGTTTAGGGTTTGAAAGTAGAAGAGGATGTGTTCACCTGCCTTCTGTATGACAGTGCTTTATTAGATAGCCTTCCATCGCTATAGCAAATAGAAAAAAAGGTTTTTATTTCTTTTTCTGGCTTACAGTTTTGACACTCTGATCAATGACTGAAGACATTGCTCTTACATCTCTGATGTTGGTATGGGGGAGAGGTCAGCAAATCATGGCAGGAGCACATAGTAGAGCAAGGCTGCTTAGTTCACGGCAGCAAAATAAAAGAGAGGAAGAGAATGGCATTGGGCCCAACAACCCTCTCAAAGGGCACACCTTAATGACCCTAATACCTTACTTACTAGATTCTACTTTTAAACCCCCCCAACACTTCTGGGAGGACACTTAAGATCCAAAGTATAGCAACAGTGGACTTTTCATGCAGTAAATTGCCTGGCTTGTGCCAGCTGTGCTGATTTAAGTCCTGTCCCTAGACAAGGCTCTGCCTTCTATGGGCTTCAGAAGCCTCATCTGTGAGATACTGGCATCCTGACTAGGAAACAAATTACAGTTGAGTGTAGCATCCCTGCTGGTTTGTCACAGCATATTCATGCTGGCTGTTTCATTTTTTTTCTTTTTCTTTTTGGCTGTTTCTGGCTTTCCCATCACTAACTGACTGCCTGCTCACCTTATGTGAGTTTGATCAGTCCAGAGAGCCCTAGGTTTTTATCCTAAACTGTAGGATTAGAAATTGCCTTGGGTGAGATTCTGGGGTAGAAATGTAAAGAAACTAGGAAGGTGGAGTGAGCATACTCTGTGCAACTACCTGCCCAGCCTCGGGCTGGGAAAGGTTGTTTTGTTTTTGGAGCAGAGTCTTCACCAATGGCTCCCAGAGTATAGCACTCCCCAGGAGGAGGGGTAAAAGCCCCAGGCCCCAGGCCGGCCTGGCCAGTGGCAGGCTCAGAATCACAGGACTGTTGAGAAGGAATGAATGTGGGCATTCAAAACAGAATAGTTGTGGGTTATTTGGATTCAAAGAGACACTTGGATTAGAAGGCTTGGTTTTGAGCCTTGGCTCTGTCCCTATTAATTGCATGCGCATGAGAACTCACCAAAGCTGCCTAGGCTTTCATTTTCTCATTTATGAAATGAAGGGGTTGGCTAAGTCATCTCTCATGTTCCATGCAGCGATTTAACAACTCTATGAAACTCTTATCCCTACTATCCCTGGTAGCATTAAGGGGTAAGTGGTCTTCTCTTCTTTGAATGCCTCTGGTCACCAAGCAGCCAGTGACTGCCTCAGCGATGAGTACCTCTTATCATGCAACTGACAAAAGAAGATGGAGAGGCATTCTTTACCTTCCTCTCACCCTCTCTCCAGCTTCCCTGTGCTGCATTCTAATGCTGCCCTCCGACTATCTGCTTCCCTTTCCTGAGTATTCTGTGTCCCCCAAATAACCTCTTTCATCTCACATCCCTACCTTTCTGGACTAGACTGACAACCCCAATTAGATGTGAGATGATCTGCTGAAGTAATTCCAAGTTATGTGTATAGGATGTTATGGGGAAAAGATGGCTTTAGCAACCTCCCCTCCCCCATGTTTTGACCACTACAAATGTCTCAACATTGCCAGGTGCACCTCTTGGTTGACAGAGATGCTGGCTTGCTTGAAAACTACTGTTCTATTGAAGTATGTTGTCTCTCTTTTTTTTTTAATTTAATTTTATTTGTGAACATACTGTACAGAGGAGTTACAATTACATGGGCAGGATAATGCGTACATTTCTTACCAAGCATTGCAGCCTCTTCCTTTGTTTACCCTTCACATCCCTTCCCAGCCTCCCCCCTCCCCCTCAAAGTATGTTGTCTCTTAAGGCTGGAGATTGCATTTGTTACCGTTGCCTTACGACAAAGAAATATCTGAGGCAATTAGCTAGAGAAAAAAAGGTTTATTTGGCCCACAATTTTGAGGATCTAAGATCTGGCAGCCCATAAGTTTGGATTCTGATGGGGTTGGTGGATGGTAACAGCAGGGGCACATGTTGGGGGAGGTGGTTGTATGAGGAAAAAAGAAGTAGGAAAGAGAGGGAGGAGGGAGAAAAAGGGAGAAGAAGGAGGATGAGGAGAAACAGGAGGAGGAGGAAGAGGAGAGAAGAGAGGGAGAATGGGCTATGGCTCTACAACCCCCACTGACCTAGGAACCTCTCAGCATGCTCCACTTGTAAGAGGTCCATAGCACCTGATATTGTCACCCTGGGGACCATGCCTTTGCATGTGGACTTTTGAGGGATACTCATCCAAACTAGCAGGGAGAGTGAGGGTTCTTTTGCTTTAGAACAAAATATACTCTTTCCAAAATTCACTTGTCATTTTGCCTTCTGTGTATCTGCCATCAATTGAACTTGACCTTGGCAGGAGTAACTAAAACAATAGCAGACATAGTTCTCAGACCTCAGTGAATCTCTTTATTAGAGTCCTAGTTGGCTCCTTTTACAGGACAAGCACAATCTTAGGGGAAACCAGTTGCTTCGGTGGTTGAGAGCGGAGTGACCATAGATGATGAGTCAGATGAACTGAATTGATGAACCAGAACTTAATTCTCCTGCTGAGAAGTCAGTGCTAGCTTTAGGAGCTGCATGGACTGTTGCAGCCAGCAGAGGTCTCCATCCACTTTTAAGTGACTTCTGAAGAAATCGTAACTGCTATGAGCCATGCTGTTCTTCACAGGGGCATCGCTACTCTCTAGAGACCAGTTTGTTCAGGTGAAGAGCAGGACTTTGCTTGAACTGCCTCAAGAAATGTGAGTGGGGCCTTGGTGAGAAAGGTATTGCAGCCCCATGTTTGCAGTTCAGTCTAGTGAATATGCTTGATGGAAGTTCTTGTTGTTACTTGAGAATTCCTATGACCAGGAAAAAAGACTTTCTACTTGACAAGAAACGACTTAAATTCCCCTGCTGATCTCCTATGTACAAGTGAGGCAGCCATAAAGTAATTACGAGGCCAGAGCCTTACCTGAGAGCTGTAATTAAGCTAACATTTTTGCAGAAAGTACAACAACAACAACAAAAATGTCTCTGGGCTATACCCCCACAGGTCTTTGGTGAGCAATTCCAGCTTACCTGGCCTTGGACAACTAGTGGGGCATCCCCGGTTCTTTTTGGGTAAATTAAAATTAGTAGAGGATTGTAATAATGTAAAGCTGATTTATCCAGTTACTCTGTTGTCCAAGGAGTTAACTAACTGCTTAATTGATTTATTGAAGCCCTAATTATTTTTTTCAGGGAGAGATTATGAGTGATAATAAGGATTGAGTCACTCTCCCACAGGTCTAGCAATCACCTTGGGGCAAGTGATTTGCACTCAAAGACAATTGACATCAGTGTTCAGAGCACACGAGGGGCTGAAGGAGAAGTGACAGAATGTAGGTAACAGTGTCAGGATGGAGTGATTGGGTAGCATTTGGGACAGTCTTAGAGATAAGATGTTTTCCTAGTTGGAAGGTAGGAAGAAGTAGGGAGCTAAATACTTTTATGTAGTCAGATGACATATTCCTTTGTATCCTATTGTTCCTGAATTATAAAAAGGTGTCAATCTAGGGTATTGGAAGGCTGGATGGACACTGTATCGTGTAGTTAGAAATGTTTGTGTGGATAACGAAGAAGATGTAAGTGGATCCCCAGTTTATCTGTTGAGCAGAGTTTCTAAACATTCTTTTATTGGTCAGTGGCTCCACCAGCAGTGACCTCTAACCTCAGCCACACTAGGAGGTGGAAGTGAGGAGCCTGCCTTGCCTTTGAACTCTTCTTTGTACTCAGTTGAGTAGGAATCTTTGAGGTGGCAGGACATTCAGCATCTCCTTTTCTCTAGTCTTTAACACTCAGGGTAAGTTAAAGTATCAGTTTCTTTTCAGTCTATGGACA